CAAGAAAAACGCGCTAAAATTATCAATATTTCATGCAAAAAAAGTTGTTTTGAGAAACATTGGAAATTTTAAAGTTCATATATTAAATAAAAAAGATAGGTATGTCAGCAGAAGATGACATATTCCTCGCGGAAGCTTCGCCAATAGCCGACCGTAGAAAATAGCAGAAAATTACCTTATGTGTACTATAAGAGCAAAATATCGATAACTATGTGTGACGTTTCTAAGGAGGGGTGGGGGAGGGTGTCTCCAGAGAAACGAACATATGACGTTTCTCATGGACAAAATCGATATGTGAGGCTTCCCTAAATTCGGACGTGTTTAAGAATTTACTCATATAGAAAATTCACAGGTGGAGCTCATGATTTATGTTTTAATGTACAGGAACCCAGTGTTGTGTTTTGTCTAGTGACAATACTCATTAAATGCTAGGGACTTTGCCAACTTACAAGTTCAATTCATATTTATTTATTAATTATGCTTTGCCAATTTCACACAATCATATCTGCACAAATACAAACACAAGAATATACAAACTATCAATCAATCAATCAATGGCAGGGTATATGCTACAGCTTTACGCCAATTACAGCAGCCCTTACAGAACGAACATGACACATTCTACATTAGATCTTTAGTAATATAAAAAGGCCAGTTTGCACCCAGGAAAACCTTCCGCAGGATAGGAACGGAAGGAAAGTTACATAGTGCTAAAGTCATTAGTTCCAACGCCGTCCGCTCCTGCGGAAAATTTTATTGAGTGGAAATTAGCCGACAATGAAGCTTAACAAGACGAACACACATTAGAATTAATAACAACACGAATTTGAACAAGACAAATTACGGGACTTACTGGACTTGTTACACGACAAACATACAGACTTCTTTGTTCTAGGATTTTCTGCGTTGTAAATGTTCAGAGCCGATTTGTAATATTCGTAGATCGCTTTTGAAACGACCCAGAGGAGGAATGAGGGTCTTCCCGAAATGCAACGCGCGAATCAGTGCGGCTCATTATTATTCAAGCTATTTATTCTCAACACGCCGTTCGATTAAAAACTGTTGAAATATATTGCGATTTTTGCTGTGAAGATCTCGTTTTCTCAAAGGTATGTTTTGATAACCTTTT